AAGAAAGTTAAGGGGCTTCCCTGGTGGCGCAGTGGTTGAGAGTCCACCTGCCAATGCAGGGAACACGGGTTCGTGCTCTGGTCCGGGAAGATCCCACATGCCACGGAGCGCCTGGGCCCGTGGGCCATGGCTGCTGAGCCTGAGCGTCCGGAGCCTGTGCTCCGCAACGGGAGAGGCCACAGCAGTGAGAGGCCCGCGTACCACAAAATAAATAAATAAATAAAAAATGAAAGTTAAGACTACAATGAATATGCATTTTTTTAATTTAGAAAAATATTTACAAAATAAACATCCTGTAAATTCCTTGCTGCACCACTTCACAGCTCTTCTAAATATGCAAATGAGGTTTCCACTCACATAATAGGTTAAATTAAACTTGCTTTAGAAACCCACCATTGTAAATATCAGAGGTCTCCCTCTTGCTTGCTTTGGATACATGACAATTTGAGGCATGAAAATGCTCAGTATTGACTGTCAATAGCTTAATTATAATCATATTTTCTATGAAAATATACTGTATCAAAAATAACGGGAATTTATGTTTAAAGTTAGGAGCAGACAGTATCTGAGATTTAATGATCATATTACCAATCCTTTCATCTCATGAACAGACAAAGCGCGGATCCTCTGCCTATAAAATCCCCAAATACCACCTTCCTTTTCTATCAAAAGATAAGAAAAGTTATCCCACACCTTCCTCTCCAAGAAGCTGGGAGAATTTCTGAAGTCATATTTGCAATAGGCAATCCAACAACAAAAAATAGTTGGGTAAAAACTCCATAATATCAAAAAATGTTTATTTGCAGAAAGCAGCATCTAAAACCCTTTCAGAGACAGAGATTAAGAAACCATGTGGCCTGTGGCTGAACTCTGGATGGATCTGGGATCTTCCTGTGCCACCCACCCTAGTCTAAATACACAAATATTCAGTAACGACTTAGTGCCACACCCGCTTAGGTTCTTAGGAAGGGTCATTAATGTCTTATTTATTTTCTACATAATAAGGAAGTATAACTGCACTAATATTTTCATGCTGGAACGTGCTAAATGGAAATGGGCTGTAAAGTTTAATTACTTATGATTATAAAGCAATCAGGTAATTTATTTATCCTGAGTTGATTACCTCAGTTTCTTCTTTGTATCTCTAAACAGTCTATGGTATTAACACCTCCCCTCCACACACACACACAGACCCCTTTTATTTCTCAATTTAAGAAACATAGACCCAAACGTCAGCCCTGTTGCCATCAATAAACAAGAATTTTTTAAAAGAAGAAGAAATTTAAAAAAAAGAAGTTCAAGTGACTCAGCCAAGTGAAGGACATACACATTTACACAGACTGGGGTAGGGCCTTGAGAGTTTGTGCAGTATTTCAGTCCCCTGATACTGTAACCCACAGCCCCAAAGGAAAACATTACCTTGTGCTTGGTCATCGCACCCACAATGAGGGGACAGATCATTCCAGAGAGGGTTCCCACTCCGTTTGAGATCCCCATGAGAATGCTGGCATAGCGGGGGGCAATGTCCAAGTGGTTGACATTAAAACCTATAGTGAAGCCAAACACCTCAAAATCAGACTCAAGAACAGAATTCCAAATACATTTTGGAAAATACTAGCTTTCCCCAACTCTCATCAATCTATTTCCTCTACATGTAACTAATGGATACCTTTACTGGAAAGGCTGGGTTGAGGATTGTCAGGCTGTGTCTGCACATAGTAGAAAAACATGCTATGATTGACTAGCAATGACTACCATGGGTTCTCCATGAGGAGAATTATGGCACCTGTACCTTCTAGGCTTAGAAGCCCAAAATAATGGTGTTTGGGGCAATACTGAAAAGCCCAAAGCCTGGATCACATTTATTCAGAGTAAACAATCACATGATCACATAGAGTGTGCTTAGAAGCAAACCTTGCCTCATAATATCCTCCCTCTTAGCTCTCAACTCGCTCCCAAAAGGCCACCATATGTAGGTCTGCCTTAGTAGCCACACGGCATAATGGAAAGGGCTCCTTTTTGGTAAGAAAGATTAACACAAACATTGGCAGAATCCTCTGCAATTTTCAAAACACTTTTACATACATACTTGATTTGGAGTCTGTAAATCTGGATTCGAATCTTATTCCTACCTCTTAAACAAGTCATTTTTTAGGACTTTGTTTCCTCATCTCTAATTTGGGGGTAATGTTACTACTTAACTCATAAGGATGCTGTGAGATGAGACTCAGGGGAAATATGTATGCGAGAGCTCTTGGCAAACAGCTAGGCTCTGGTTACTCTCATGATTACCAATACCAGCACTACTGCTGTTGCTGCCACTTCTAAGCACGCCCCTCTCTTTGAGGTCTTCTATCTATAGATAACCCTGCTAGGAGTGGTAAAATAATAAATCACCAACACCTCACTATTAATCTGCTTATCAGGAGACAAGAATGAGTGGGATGAAGGAAGAGTGAAGGCAGAGGAGGAATAAGGCTTTGAAAGAGGAGGCATCAGGCACTGGGAACCAGCTCTACCAGTATAGCCCAGGGGTGCATTTTAGAGTCAGACAGACCTCAGACCTGGCAGCTTAACTGAGATGCAAACCTGGACAAAGGATTTAAACGTTCTGAACCTCAGCTTCTTCACCTACAAACTGGGATCATCAGTCTTATAGAATTGTTGCAAGAATTAAGTTAAATCATATATGTTAATTACATAGATACATAGAGGTGAAAGCCAACATATAGGTTCTTTACGGTTGGTTATCCATCTGCCTTGTTTACCACTATCTTCCCTGAGCTGGCAAAGTGTCTGGCACATAGTAGGCATTCAATAAATAGTTGTTTAATTAATTACCAATTTGAGCTCTGAAATTACAGCAGGGGGCTGTAGGTTTTGTTTATTCATATTTTTATTTTCCTTGGTCTTGCTTTTTAATTCTCTATTTTATGCAAAGAACCTGAAAACAGAATTTAAAAAAATATATTTTTCCTAAACTGGCACATTGGCTGGTTGTTTTTTTTTTCCTACCTCCATTCAGAGAGAATTTCGAGAAAACCTTTCTGGAATAAACATACCTTCTCTTTCAGGTCAAAGTAGCAGAAAATCAGAATATAAAACAGCCTCAAGATTAATTAATCTTACTGTTGATTTGAATGCGGTAAACACTTTATTAGAAAAGAACCCAGAGATAAGAAGCAATTAATATGATTGGTGAGTATTATATTCTGATACAAAGCCTAGGCATTTGCGTTCAGCTAAAAACAATGTCAGAAAAGCCATTTAGGTTTCTAGCTGCACAATACTGATGTGTGGGGTGAAAATTGTTGAGAAACTGAGACGTTGATAGATTTTTTTGAAGCAGGCACACAAAGTAAGTTGCACACAAGTTGGGAGAGTCAGTCTTCTCTACATATGACATTTTCTAAAGCAGGCATCACCCATCCTTTGTTTTTGTTTTTTTTTTCTACATTGAAACTTTATTACAAAGTTATAAAGCAGAGCTCTTTAACAAAAAATACACATTTGGGTTTGCTCTTAACACCCAAGTATGTCTGAGAAAATATTAATATAAGCCACTTGAAATAACAGATTCACATCCAAAAGATTTCAACAAATTTATACATTTTATATTGAGCACTTTCCATCCCTTGTATCTTTCTAATCTCACCTGTCTCAGTTCTCTTGTCCATAATCAGTTCCTAAGCTGAGCAAGTCTTCCCTGGCATCCTTATTAACTCCTTATAAAGTTGGCAGATAGCAGATCCTAAGGAATCATCATCCCCATGACCATAATCCCTCCCATAGTCTCACTGTTGGATCAGATAAACCTTTATTCCAATCCTAATTACTTAATTTATCTGCGTAAGTTAAGTCACGTTTCCAAGCATCAGTGCTGTCACTGACAAAATGAACATAGCAATACCCTTTTCATCGGGCTGCTACAGAGATTAAATGAGATTATATCTAAAAAGTGGCCAGCATTGAGTAAGTGCTAGAAAAAAAAAGTGGCAGCTGCTGTGATTTGGACTGTTGGATTTCTCTCCTTCTGATTGTGGCTTAATTGGCAATCTGGGGACAATATGAGCCTGAATATTTCAATATCTCTGGGAACAGGATATGAATTTCTTTTGCATCACAGGGCTATCAAAGAAAGGTGTTCCTTAACATCCTAGTAGAAACAAGTCATTACTGCTCTATCCTTGCTACTCAAAGTATGGACTATTGATCAGCGGTAACAACATCACTGGGGAACTTGTTAGAAATGCAGGATCTCAGGCACCACTCTGGACCTACTAAATCAGAATCTGCATTTTGCAAGATCCTAAGGTGATTTGTATTCACACTAAATTTTGAGAAGCACTGGACTAGATTAAATAATAATTGAACAACAATAGTGAATATTTATTAATTGTCTTATGCATCTGGTACTGGGCTAAGATCTTCTAAGGCTTTATTTCCACTAGAATGTAAACTTTATGAGGACAGAATCTTTCATTTTTTTTTTTCCCTGCAATATCCCCCGTGCCAAGAACAGCATCTGACTCTTGGGAAGTGTGAGTGAATAAATGAATGATCTCAGCTCATTGCAATCTCCCACAACCCTATGAAGTTGCCGTTACATTGCTCCAATCTCTAGATGAGGAAACTTGAGGCTTGAGGATGTAAATAACTTAGCATTTTTTTTCTTCTATAAATAGTAAGTAGTAAAGAGGGCCCTTAAACCCAGGTCTCTGCATCCCCAAAACCGCTGTTAGCTGCAAGCTACTTTTAATGCAGACATTTTTTCCTAATTTAACTATTTATCAGCTCTTTTTACAGCTGACCCTTGAACAAAGCAGGTTTGAGCTGCACGGGTCCACTTATGGGCAGATTTGTTTTCTGGTAGTATATACTACAGGACTACGGGATCTGTGGTTGATTGAATCTTCAGATGAGAAATTGAGGATACAGCAAAACCCAGGATGCGGAGGAACATCTTATACAGAGGACTGACTACAGGGTATAGGTGGATTTTCGACTGTGCTGGGGGTCAGCACCCCTAACCCCCACATTGTTCAAGTGTCAACTGTATTTTGATAAGATCAAGCCCCCATTTTATGTTAGTTTGGACCAGAGCTTCCATGTTTTTCTGTTCTGGGATGTTAGCACCCTGTTTGATCTTTAAGACAGCCCAGAATTGTGGAAAGAGCACAGACACGAAGCCTGGCAGGACTGCACCTTAGTTCTTCCTTTGCTACCAATTGTGTGACAATAGGAAAGTCCCCAGTTTTCCTGAGTTTTAATTTACTCCTCAGTAAAATAATGGTAATATCACTTGCTTCATAATTTTGTCAGATAGATGCAATATATGTGAAGTGTTCTGTAAATGACACTTTTTAGTCCTACAGTATGTTTTTAAAGTTAGAAAAAAACCCTGAGTTTTACTTTTTCACTCAGTTTTGCATAGGGAGCTTCTGAAGTCTGTAAGACATGATATGCTAGCACTGTGACCTCTCACACAGTAGGCTGGTTTCTGCTCCGGTAAAATGGGAGACTGATAGCCCTTAGGGTAGCTGTGAGAATTATAGGGGTTAATACACAGAGTGGGCTTTGAACAGTCCCCGGCACAGAGTTTGTGCCTGATCAATGTTAGCTCTCATCATCACCATTATTATTTTTACTTCCTGCTCTCACCTGTTTAGAAAGTCGCATCACCTCTCTGGACCTGAATTTCCTTGTTTGGAAAATGAAAGCCTCAGAGTAGACAAAAATCTAAAGAAGAGTTCCACCCTTAAAAAATTCTGATCCTATGACCATATGTCAAATGACTACATCGTTTGACTTTTGAGTTAATATTAGCAGCTCTCCAATAGGAGGTGAGGATTGAAAAGGTCACGAGAGCCTCCATTAGTTAGGGTGACCTGGTTCTGAAGTATGAAGGTGTCACTTCGTCCAGCAACACACGCGCTGCCCATGCCCCAGAGGCAGCGCCTGCACGTTGTTTGTTTCCAGGATGGAGAAAGTATCGACAATTCCAGCTTGACTGGGCTCCTCAGCCTGGTTCTCAGTGATCTGACAAAGTCATCCCCACTAGATGAAAGTCTCTAGCCAGTGGCCCTGACCCTTGGGAATGGCTTGGCTACCAAAGGAAGATGCTACAATATCTTTTCCTTCCTTCCTCCCAAGTCTTGCTGGATCTATGGAAAAGATTTGGAAACCCAAAGGACACTTTACCTGAAATAGCAAAACCACTAAATCCTACGGCAAGCACCAGAAAGGAGATAGCCACCCCTTTGGTATGGGAAAAGCCAACCACAAGGAGTAAGGTTGCCTCCATGCCAAAACCTGCAAATAGAAACAGCAGGGGGGAAAAAGTCATTTTCATGTCAATCAGCCCAAATTCATGAATTTATCAGATAAGAATCTGTTTTTATTTCCATGGACCCAAGTTTTTAGTACATACATTCTGGCACAATATTTACAATCTTATTGGGGTGTTTCTTGACTACATTGACGATGCTAATATTACCCAGGTGTTCTGTGAGCCTTCCAACATTTTCCTGGTGTACTTTGAACACTGAATGGTCCCAGGAGGTACGATGATGCCCGTGGGATGAGGGATGTTTATTATCCGTTGTTCATGGGTAGTTCCCCCTGCCATTTCTAAATACTAAAACCATCAGTGACTCTCCTTTGATTACACAAGTGATGGTCTCTCACAGAAAAATGAAATAAAAATAAAATATTGGGCTTCCCTGGTGGCGCAGTGGTTGAGAGTCCGCCTGCCAATGCAGGGGACACGGGTTCGTGCCCCTGTCCGGGAAGATCCCACATGCCGCAGAGTGGCTGGGCCCGTGAGCCATGGCCGCTGAGCCTGCGCGTCCGGAGCCTGTGCTCCTCAACGGGAGAGGCCACAACACTGAGAGGCCCGCGTACCGCAAAA